CAGGATCAATACAACAAATTATCTCTACACAAAGATCTTCTAACAGAAACATTTTCCAACACTGAAACTACATGATTGGTAAAAATAGCATGGCACTAAAGTACATACATACTTCAAAAGTTTGAGGTACCGCTGAACGTCGTCTCAAGCAAGCATACATGATGCTGTGGCTCAGATGCCAGCAACAACCCCTGCCTCATATTTTTTAAAATCTTGTTTTATTACAAATACCGAATTTAATTTGTTTTTTTTTGTTTTTACAAGGAGACCAAAACCAAACATCATCAGACCCACGTAGTTTTCTTAAGCTACTGGAAATCAGTTTTCCCTGGGATTTACTCCTGCTAACTCGTCTTAAACTGAGGCTGAAGCTAGCACAGGAACATAATAGATCCAAAGCTTTGAGCAGAGCGTCTGCTTTTCAGAAAACTGCAAGAATAACTAACGTGGACATAAGCAATTAAATTTAACTACACTTGCAAGCTATTTTATAAATCGCAGAAAAGACACTGTCTTAGATTGCATGCATAATACACAGACCTGCATTTAAACAAGACTGTAGAAAAATAATTCTCTAATTTTGTTCCAGGGATGGCCCTCTTAACTGACAGAAAGAAAAACTTATTTGCAAAAAGTAACAGCTTTTTGAGCATATTAGTTGAACTGGGTCCACATGCCACAATCGGTTGTTATCCTTCCCCAAACGCTCAAAAGTAGCAGCAATAATAGGATAAAGCAATAGGGAGGCATCATTCTGCCTCCTGCTGCACTTAACCACTACCTTCTAGATACAGGTACCCTTTCTCCCACTGGAACTCCAGGAAGCAAAGCCTAGCAGGCCAGCAAGATCTGTGAGCTATAGCAGCTGCAGTCCCTCACAAATGTTTATCTAGCAATCACTGGGCCTCCTGAACATGACATTTAAAGTACAAACTGACCGGGCTTAGAACATTATCCCAGCCTTTCTACCGTTAAGAAATCATGGTAATTAATAAAGAGGAATGTCAGGGTCCTCATCTCTGACAAAATGGACCCAGCAAAATGGCAGGTGCTAAGTCTTCGCCATTTAACATTGCACAGTACAGTTCAGAAGGCAAGTAAGACCAGTACTCAAATTGTATTTTTCCAGTGTGGCAAATTCATGCTCTTAAGGCGATGGCACAGCGAAGTGATTTGGATAACAAAGGTACTAGAGAGCTAATTCTTTGAGACCAAGACATGTTGCCCTGTCTTACACAGCCCATAAAGGCTGAGACACATTACAGCTGCTCTTTCATGCTATATCAAGAGGCAGACAGTCAAGTGGCGAAGTAGAAAAACAAGTTGTTTGAATTGGAGGACCTTATTATTACAGGATCAAGAAGGTATAGATGGCCATGAATACATTTAGACTACAAATCTAGATCAAGTTCCTAACTGTTGGAATACATTAAGTTCTACAGCAGCCTTCTAAATAATGTGGTCAGTGCAAGAAACCTAGTCAGTTTTTAACCGAAGCTGAATAAATCGATGCAGACTACAGGATACAACTGTTTGCAGGAGCAAGATGGGCAATTAGTCTGGAATCCTTTCTAACTCAGTATGCTTATGTCCAGGATCAAAAAGAACAGGTACTCCCACAAACAAGCTAAGGAACCCCATTGTGAGGAAGAAAAATATAAATCTGTTTTGAATTGTAGCTTACTCCTAGTAACAGCTTTCCTCACAAGAATATTCATAAACTGATAACGCAAGCTGAAAAGTAAATGTATTCTGATTTTTAGCTAACACAGATTGGCTTGTTCCCCTTTTTGCTAAAAATATCTGCATACATGTAGGTACCTGTGGAACCATCGCAACCTTCTGATTTCTTTTGGGTGACCTTGTGTTTATTTGCCTGTCGTCTTCTTCACAGAAGAGTCGACTCCGTTTTGAATTTCTGAAGGGCTGCACGTATCAAAATTAAGAATGAATTACAAGAAAAAAATAATCTGATTTTTCTGTTCATGCACAGAATTCAAAGTGAGAGAAATGGAATGTCTTTTCTCTTGCCACCTATTGGTTTTCAGGCACATGGTACACAATAAATAGTGCCTCCTAGCAGTTACAGTACTAAGGGCTGAGAGAGGAGAAGAAGGAATTTAAGATTCCAGCTTTCCAATGCTAACTATAACCCATTACTATACTGCTGGCCCAGTTCCACGGAAGTATTTAGAACCCAACTCCCACTTGTTTCCAGAGGAGTTAGGTATCTAAACACTTGTGTATCTAAGCTTAAAATAGTCCTTGCTTTGGTTATAAGCACATCTGGTTAAACAGTTTGTTCTGAATGTTAGGTCAAAAAAAAAATTATTCAAACAGCGTATTTGTTTTGGTATGTTCTCAGTAAAAACATTAGCTGGATATAATTCTTTTGCAAGGATTTCTTATGACTCTATAATAAAGTATTGTGGGTTTGTTGTTTTAACTCATTGAAAGTGCCTATACTGTAAAACGTTAAGAAGCTGAAGTCTGAAGAAACTAAAGCTTGAATAAGTTGTGTGAAAATATCAGAAAAGAGAAGAATTTAGAATTTACACTAACTAAAACATACTCGTGTGCTAAGATGTTATAGCTCAAAGACAATTAGAAGGCTGATTGAAAACAAGAAACCATATTGCAAATACGTGTCATGAAGAAAATACTTCCATTTAGTTATTCCTCAACATTTTACCCTATGACAAAAACAATTGTGCTTTCAACGAGGACAAAAGAGTAACCTACGGCTGGCTGTCAGTGCCCAGAGCAAGGAGCTTTTCCTTTCATGAACAATTTGTGGCCCAGCACAGGAGCCAGCCACAAACGACATGTGTCTCCTTTGCAGAACCCCAAGACTGCACCCTGTAGTGTTCCATGTGCTTCAAACTATTTACAAAGGTGATGAGTAAAGGCAGAACAAAGGCAGATTTCACTTCTTTCAGTACAGATGGTGAAAGTGCTGCAAATTGATAGGGGTTTGAAATCTGTAACACTCAATAATGTGAAGAATACTGATGACAAAGATAAGTCCTTAATAGGAGTCAGAAACAAAATAAATCAACAAAGTGAAATAAAACTTCACTAATAAGCATTTACACTTAAGGAAGACATTTAGTAAGTTTGTAACTGATTAAGTATCTGTTTGAAAAGAGATATTCTCTATTAAATTAATTAGTGGTAGCAAAAAAATCTGTCTGTCCCATGCCATAAGAACAGCTGGGGATTCCCCAGGGAAATGTGCCTTTCTTACTCTAAAGCGTATATATATATATTAAAAATATAACTACACAAGTCTATTTAAGTAACAGTAGTGCCCTGTATGTGCTAGACACCTAAGCATATTCAGCACACAGAAGAAAACGTCCATTCCTTGTAGATGTTACAAACGAGGAAAGAGATACACACACAGATCAGAGGAACTACATATTGGCAAGGTAACCAAATGGTGCCCGCTTCATATTAACATCATAATTAGTTCATCATATTAATTGTTATGAATGTTCTTTCTCCTCTCTTCACCTAGATATATTGAGTTCTTTTCTTCACATCTTCCAATTCACTAAACCTTAAGAACAACTTTAAATTTCAATTACAATGTCTTTATGTTCTTTTATAACATCTCTGCCGTCCTTGACAAACTATCACCCTAAAAAAGAAAAGTCAGAACTATTCTAACTTTTGAGCAAGAAAACAAATCCACAATCCTGTTCCAACAATAAAAACTCTTACATTGCAGAACTCCAGGACGTTTTAATCACAGCGTTCTGCCACAGGATGAAGAGCCAGGTTCCTATTGAATATTTGCAATTATATTTTAGTCTTGACATTTGAGATGCTGGTTCTAGAACAACATTTCTTTTCTCTCAAATGGTTACATAGATCTTGATTTTCTGGCACTAGAGCAGATGAAAGGCATATGCCAACATGGGAACACAAATGCTAAAACAATCTAGACAAAACCTAAGAGTTCTTTCTACCTTATGCTAAGGCTATCATCCAGATCAACAGAACTGTTTTACAACCCTCAACAGAAGCTGCCAAATTCTATTCCAAGAACTATCCAAAATGATAAGAGTGTTTCATCAGTCTGGATTGCCAGTGCCTCACGCAAGAATAAAACAAGCATCACAAGGAAGTATCATTCTCCTTAGCTAAATAGGTCATACATTTTTGGAAAGATTTTTCAAGCAACAGTACAACGTATCTGCAAAATTTCCCATGTTCAGGAACTCTAACTAGTACAGAAGACTACATCACATCTCAGCAACATGGGTCACTGCTAACATACAAGATTATCCTTTGATCTTCCAGCTTTCTACAGAATACTGAAGTACATTCAAAGTTTGATTCTCTATTTTGAATATCTACAGCCAGCATACCTAAAGACTGACAAAGTTTTTGTACAAATGTTATGGCTAGTGACTTTGGTTCTTTAGCACATGCGATCTTCTAAGTTACTGGTAAGGCTTGTTTTTGTGAGAAGATGAGCATTCCTGGGGAACAGCTGCAAACTGCGACATAAACTCCTGCAGGAACTAAGGGCCATCACAAAGTTCTGATCACTGTCTGGAACTGCATTCTGTAGACCTTATATTCTCTAGCATAAACACCTAGCAACACATGTGTGTGTATGTACCTGCATGAATCCTACCAAAATAAATACCTTCTCCGTGTAAGTTTCCTCTACAGGGAGAAGATCACAGAACAAGCTACATATGATGGATGTTAGTCACGTTGCTTAATGCACTACCGGATGCTGCTCAGATATTTTGATTAATGTGCAGAGCAGGCAAGTGTGATAGTTTTCAAACATGTTTCCCTTCCAATAAAGAAACCGTTCACAAAAAATAATTATGTCAATGAAAACCAGGTGATAGTTGGCAAGTTGGTTGCAATTACTGTAGAAAAAGGCAGCACCTGAAGAGTATGGGATAAAGATCCACCAGCAATTAAGACAGTATTTCGTATGCTCCCCAGGGTGTAGTAAAAAGAGCACATAGTATTACAGATGTAGACAAAGAAGGCACTGGGTGCAATATAGCTGGTGGCAAAAATCAAACCAAAATCACATAATTTGGTATGGTAGAAGAGGTTGAGAATAGTTAAGAAAAGCTTGAATGTGATACAATGGGGAAAGAAACAGCAACAGAATATTTCAAAAAGTGAGAGGAAAATGGCCAACCCAAACAGTAGACACATGCCCTTGGAGGCTGCAGGCTCATTACCTTTCATTCCCCCAGCCCAAGGCTGTTCTTTAACGTAAGGTCTCCTATGAGACCTCTCAGAATACTGCACAACACATCACTGACACTCCTTTAATTTATTAAAATCTACCCTCTAGAAGGCACAATGACGGGAGTCACAATGATGGAAGCGCATGATGACATTTTCCCTTCCTTTTCTTTATGCATCAGTTCTCAGCCATAATTAGAAGTGAGATTTTCATGAGATAAAACAAATGGTTGATCAGAAATGGCGATTCCTCAGTTCAAGGTGGTAAACATAGTACAAACATTTCACACAGCACTTGCTTTACAAAAAAAGAGAAAATTATTACAATCTATCTTGAACAAGGTCAGCAATTTGATTTGCTTGATTATTAACTTATAAAAATACGTTTTCATTTCATATTCAGACTGGGTAGACTGCTTGTGAAGGACCTAGTTTAACACCTGGAAATTATGAAACTATAAATCTCAGCCAAATTTTGTGATCCTTAAATTTTATTCACTTTATGGTATTTTACCAATCCTGAAGTTGTCTTTTATTGCCTCTTACCATGTCCACTGCAGAACCAGCATTCTTGCTTTTCCAAATTGGCGTTTTCTGCAGTGAATTGTACTTTTCATTCCACGAACTGGATAAACTTCCCTCTGTTGTGAAGAAATTATGTTATTAATATACATATCATATATGTATGTTTTAACATAACTACTATCCAAAAGGTAGCATAACATCATCAATTACCAATATGTTTTTGTTACTTGCAACATCTTCTTTGGATTCAACTACAAATGGATTTTAAATTTCTATATTTTTATTAAATTGTTTTGAACACTAATTAAAAAAAATGAAAGATTTTCAGTACGAGGAGAAATATGAGCAAAACATTTTTTTATTCCTGACAACATTTAGATTTCTTGAAGCCTCCTTTGCTGGAATCAGTTACTTCCACTGCCAGGTTGATGTACATCTAGACAGCTGTGACTGAAACTTGGAGAAGGTAAAGGTCTAAAAGATATGGCCACCTTCCGGTTCTAAAGAATGATTAAGTGGTGTACACCAACGAGTACATCAAATTTTATTGAAACAAACCTATATTAATTACAACATATTCACCAGATCATGCCTTCTTCCTTGTGTAATAGAAGCCTTTTAATATATAAAAAAACCTTTTATTGCTGGGCAGATTATAAGTATTCATAGAATCATAGAACCATAGAAATTCAAAATTTGTATGAATGTTCATGAAGACAATTTCAAAGCAAAAGATGTAAGAAACAGATTTTTGATTTAGCCCACAATGTGCTGACAGAAAACACAATGAGATTGTGAAATTCCTTCCTAAAGTAAATTTTGTCACATGTACAGGTCTTGCTAAGAAGCCTTCCCCTATCTTATCCTCAAGAGAAAAAAGATTACCTCAATCTTCTCATCAAACATGATGCCTAGCCAGTTCTTAGGAAGAAAAAACACATTCAGGAATTTCACCCAGAAAAGCAGTGTTTAAATATGCCACAACATATGTAGTTTCAACCACCAAGGATTATTAGTCTATAGAACTAACAAATATCCACAATAAAACCAACCATATTTCAACAAAAAAACCTTCTTTGGTGTTATTTTCTTGAGCATTTTGAAGTCAGAAACTAAGTACACCTGAAAGACAGATTGAGTAAAAGTAAATAACATATTAATTTCTTACCTTTCAAACTCACAAGTGCTTTTGCTGAAGAACCTGCAATATATCAAAAAGTCGACATAAATCATAAGGTATTTCAAACCATACAACCTATGCAGAGTCTACTCATTCTTAATTAATTCTTAGGCAGAAAGAGTAATTTAATATTAAATCTTTCACAGCTGAATGAGTGAACCCGGTGCACTTTCCACGGCACTAAATATAGCATTATATGTTTATTACCCAATAAATCTTGAAAGCATATTCATGTTTTGTTTTTTTCCTTTAGTTTCACATCTACAAAACAGCTTCAGATGCTGAGTGGTTTTGTTGAACACAGCAAATTCTGAACAAACTTTATGTCAAAACTACATCCATGCAGCTGCTTGTTTGATGCAGTTGAAAATATATTATACAACTGACAAGGAAACTGTAATGAACACTCCTTTTTTTTTTTAATTATTTCTACCAATTTGAAATTCTTCAATGCCAAAAATTTCCACAAAAGCAGCAGTTCAGGCTCTCTAAGCTTGGCTTACAGGCAGGGAGATGGATGGTTAGTTGCTCCCTGGTGGAACCTCCTTATTCAGAAAGGCAGCAGATTCAGATATAATAAAAGCAGACGGGATCCTTAGTTTGCTTGAACTGTTCAAACTGTATAACGTGTCCATCAAAACTTCACTGCTTGCCTTCCACTGCATCTGCAGGACCTGTGCAGTGCTTCTAGGCCAGGAAAGACAAAACTGTGCCTGACTACAGCCTTCACACTCTGGAATTTTCAAATGCCTCTCTAAGAATGAGCTGTTTGAAGCAACTACACTAGCAGAAGGGAGAGATATTTCTGCATGACAATGCTTCCACAGATCCATGATTTTCTCTCAAATCAACTTTCTTTCCAGTTATGTCCCAGTGTCGCAACCACTCCTTCTTGCATTGTACCCTCTTCTCCCCCTCACTTTCCCTGCTCCTTCATTTGGCTTCTCTTTGGAACTGCTGTTCCAAGAACACTTCTGACTCCAGAGGTCTGGAAATACTTTTTCTTGTGTCTGCCCTAGATCTAGGTCCTAACCCTACTAACTTCACAGTGCCAGAAATCCTTGCCTCTAAGAGGATATGCTCCAGGGAATATCACAGAATCAAACAATGAATTATTGTCCCTTTCCAGGGTAACAGAGCATTGTGGTTTGGACTGCCGAAAAGAATACAGGTGCAGGCAGCAACGGCAAAAAAAAACCCCTGCATTCCTTATTTTTTTTCCATGATATCATTTTGTTTGCTGCCATCTCATTATGCCATCTGTTAAAAAAAGTTCAATTAAAAAAAGAAAATGAAAAGAAACTTTCTACTCTTTTCAAAAAAAAAAAAAATTAAGATGTGAAATGGAACTAGTTTTGACTCACTGATGGTTTAGAGGGCCTCCACCCTAGTATCTCTCAAGCTGTCCAAATCTACAACTGCTAACACATATGGGGTTGCATGTCAAAAACAAGGTTACAAACCTGGGCTATACTGTTGCCCTTCTTGCACATTTCTTTTCTGACATATCACCTTTGCTGGGTTGGAGACCTAACAACGACTGGTACAGGAACACGCTTCTGTGATGAAGATGATCAGATGATTCACAGTGAATTCAGCTCTTGTAACTAAGCTGTACATTAAAGGTATCACAGTATTAAAGCCTTTTTAAAAAAAATTTCATACTAATAATAAGATACTGTACACTGTGCTTGCATAAATACACAGGTACCCTGCTAGCAGCCAAGAATGCAGTCCTGAAGAGTAACAGTAAGAACAGTAAAGAACTAGTGTCCCCCTCAAATTAACACAAGGCATGGTGGGAAACGTGCAGGGATTAATAAGTAAATGCGGCTTAAGAACACAGGGAAAGTACATGTCATTGGGGATGGAGAGGGAGAAGTAGAGTCATCAGGACTGTTAAAATGGAGGAGATGCTGGCTTTTCAGAATGGATCGCCTGTGTGATCTGTAAGATCAAATATACAAGTCATTTTCCTCTTTTTCTGACCATCTTGCTCCTATGAATCAAATTCAAACAATTCAGTCAAGGGTGAGTATGTCAACAATGGAAATGAAACAACTCAGCAAGAAGCAGCAAAGCTTTACATAGGGGGTGGTGTCAATCTCACAGCTGAAGTGCCTGAGATCCTTTGCTAAGAATCTCAGATGCTTCACCGGTGAGACTGATGGTGGGTCAGCAAAGCAGGGCACTAGATGACTGGCATCAGAAACAACAGGCACAGAAGCGATGGACAGCAGAATGTTACTGCGCTACCTTCTAGGTTAAGATTACCACTCCAAAACAGCACCAGTTGCCAAGGATTTTTCTACATGGGATAGTTAATCTTCAACAGACGCATGCTAAAATAAGGCTGCTCATTTGTTTTCACTTAACTTGCAACTAGCGTAATGTAACTGGGAAAGGGCATCTTTATTAAGGAATACAAGTGTCCAAATAAGAAATTCCTGATCTAGGCAAGTTCAATTTTAAATTAAACTATTTTAATATAACATCTTGCAGAAAATTATTAGCACAAACATTTCCGTAGCTTAAAGCATTAGAATCCAGGTAGGTTAGCAAAATGACAATGGAGATGTCCGTAAGCTTTTTTTTATCTCAAAGGCAACAATACAATACATGAGTTTCCTTGTCAAGTTCTTCTATATTGATTTGAGGGGCTACCTGCAACACTACCAAACTCCAAGGAATACAGTACATCTCTCTACTTTTTCCATTTAGTTTGCCAGTACTGTACATACTACCAGCGCCATGAAACCAGAAACTAGGATGATCTTCTAAGCAACATGTTACAATAAAAAACAACCAATATTCAATACAGATAAAAGCATTTCAGAAACTATAAAAATTGCAAAGTGATCCAGGATAGATTAAGTTTATTAAAACTATACAAAATTTTAGTTAAAATCATTATTAGATGTATTATATCCCAGCCTCACTTTAAATGCCAGTAATTTTGTACACTCCTGTTCTGAATAACAAATATATAATCACAGGCAGTCTTTTTAACCAGCATTTTAATTATAAACATAGAGATTAAAGTAGAATATACACACATGCTTGAATGTAAATACCTATTATGACAATGACACAGATTTCATTTCTACAAACATCAAACACTTAAAAACTGTATGGGTGGAAAGGAAGAAATGAGGCCTGTGCATCATTTAGGGCGTTACAATCAAAATCTACTTCCAGCTCCTCCAGGTTCAGAGGATCATGGAGTCACCTTACTCAATACTGAGAGTAAAAAAACCTCAAACTAGGGAGGAACTACAGCCAGCTCTCCACAGCAGTGGCTCAGTAACTGGAAGGCCTGCTTTCAGTAGCCTACACTGGCATACTATTCCAGTGCAAACTGTATGATTGGTTTAGTCTTGTCTTAGCAACCTATTTAGTATTGCTTTGTGTACGTTGTTAGTAAATTAATGTGGGAATTAAGTGGGAACACAGTGCTCCCACTTAACTAAGTTTGAAAAATCAGGAAAGGATCCAGAACACAGCTAGGAGAAAGACTTGAAGATCTAAAAACATGCCTTATTGTGAGAAAGTCAAGACACTCCAATCTTGTTCTTCCCAAAGCAGGTCAAGATCTGCACTGATCACAAGTATCTACAAAGGAAGATAATTCAGACAGTAAATAGCTCTGCAGCCTTCTTTTACAAGGAAAGGCATAACTGGATCTATTTGTCAGAAAATGACATTGGGTAAGTCCAGGTTAGTAATGAATACAAAGTTTAACAGATTTTCTATGTAACTATCCTAAGAAAGGGCACACGGGGCTCCCTATCATTCAAAGTCTTTAAGTTTATGCTTATTTTAAAGAAGAAACTATAGCTAAAAAGGAAGCATGGAACTGATGCACTGAAATTCCAAATACAAGGGTCTTAGCACGCTTAATGAAGAACATAAGATGGTTATAATGGCCTTATCTGGCCCTTTTTTAAAAAAAATAAATAAATCTGTAAAATACGTGCACCACAGACGTGCAGTAAAAATAACTGTCACCTAACTTACGAGGCATTTAATAGTATGATAACAGGAAGCTCATTAGTAACTAAGACTCAGGAATAAGTGTATTTATGTGTTTTATAACACTTGCAAGAAGCGATTTTCAGAAAGTCCACATAAAACCGAATTAAAAAAAGAAAAAAACAACCACCATTAAAATAACCTTAAGCCTGTCAAGTGTAGCACGACAAGGACCCTGATGTTTTCACGCTAGGCTAGCTAGAAAGCCGATTGGTTTCAGTGGCTGCCGGTGCGGGTCTGGCAGACGGACAGCTCCTCAAGCCCCGAACCCGCTGCTCTCCCTGTGCCGGCATGGCTGCCTGGAATCGTTCCTCTAGTCCCAATCTCCTTCTCCCAGCACAAGGGAGCACACACAGAGGATCACCACGAAAAGAACCTGAAAAACCTCCTCCAACGGCTGTGCAAGCAGTATGAACAGACTTCAAAAGGAGTTCTGGTCATTTGCCCTCCAAAAAGTGTTTCTGACATGGCAGTAGGCTTTGAGACATGGGGAAAAAGTGCGAAAGCTTTTCTCCTTTTCAGAAATTAAAATTGGGATTAAGTTTAAAACCAAGCACCGATTCCCTCCCTCTATTTGAAAACACTGTAACTGAACGAATGAGGTGGAGTATGATTGCAATTCAATACGGGCAGTTGTGAGTGCCTGATGTGTATTTTCAGTTGATTTTAAAATTTAAAACAGAAACACAGACAAGGACATTACATTTGTGAAAGTGTTTTCAGATTTTTTTTTTTGTTAATGAATTTGCAACAGCTGATTACAATTTTGAAGATAAAGGTTACAAGTAACCAAAGGAACATTCCATAGTTACTGATTTTACTAATGTGTGGGCACAAAGGGGCATATCTAAATCAATATAGAAAATTCTAGGATCCAGATAAGCAACTAAATAACATAAAACCTTTCTTCTCCAGATCATTACACTACTTTGTCTAAACTCTGCACAGGTGAGCAGTTATTTTCACATTGGTTCAACGACTACCTCAAA